TTTAGTTTTCTTGAGACAGGGTCTCAAGTTTGTTGCCCAGGCTGGAGTGCAGTGGTGCGATCTTGGTTCATTCCAACCTCTGCCTCCTTGGCTTAAGTGATCCTCTGCCTCAGCCTCCTGGGTAGCTGGGACTACAGGCACAGCTACCATGCCCAGCTAATTATTTTTATTATTATTAGTTTTTTTTTAGTAGAGGCCAGGTTTTGTCAGGTTCCTCAGGTTGGTCTTGAATTCCTGAGCTCTGGTAATCCACCTGCCTCAGCCTCCAAAAGTGTTGAGATTACAGGCATGAACCATAGTGGCTGACCTGCAATTGATTTCTGTATACTGGTCTTCCATCCTGCAACCCTGCTAACCTGATATATTTGTTCCAGGAGCTTTTTAGATGTTATGGAAGTTTTTATATAGACAGTGATATCTTCAAAAACAATTTTATTTATTCTTTTTCAATCTGTATGCCTTTTTGCACTGGCTACAACTTCTAGTATAACTTCTAGTATAATAGCTTGCTACTGAGTTTTCATCATTAGGTATGGTGTCAGCTGTGGGGTTTTTTTTGCCTTTTTTTTTTTACCCTAACAGTCAGGGTCTTACTATGAAGTCCAGGCTGGCCTTGAACTCCTGAGCTCAAGCAATTCTCAATCTTCCTTAGCAGCTGGAACTATGGGGGTACATGTCATTGTGCCTGGTTTAGCTGCAGGTTTTTGTAGTTATCTTTCTCCAGGTTATGGAAGTCCTTTCTGTTCCTATCTTTCTGAGATTTTTGTCATGAATGGGTATTAAAGTTTAACAAATGGAAAAAATCATAGTTTTCTTTAGCCTATATGGTAAATTACGTTGATGTTTCAAATGTTGAACCAGACTTGTATTCCTGAGATGAACCACGCTTTACTATTAGTATTTTTTATATTGCTGAATTAGATTTGCTAACATTTTATTGAAATGTTTGCATTTTCTTGATTAATACTGATCAATAGTTTCCTTATAATGTCTCTGTCTGCTGGTATCAGGCTAATGCTTGTCTTACAAAGTAAGTTTAGAAACGTTCCCTGCTCTTTGATTTCCTTGATGATACTAAGGAATTGGCATTATATCATCTTCCCTGATGCTTGGTACAATTTGCTAGTGAATCCATCTAGGCCTAGTGTTTTCTTTGTTAGAAGGTGTTTACTAATTCATTTTTTGAATAAGCACAGTATGATTTGGGTTGCGTATTTCTTCTGGGATACGTTTGGAGAGCTGTGTAGCTTTTAAAAGATTTTCCCATTTCATCAAAGTCATCTGATTTTCTGGCATAGAGCTGTTCCCAGTATTTTCTTATTCTTTTTAACATTGGTAGGCTTTGTAGTGACATTCTCTCTTTCATCCCTGATGCTGGTAAAATGGTTGAAATTTACCCAGTTACCATTCATTTCCCTTTATTCATGAAGTTTCATGATTCTTTTTCATAAAAGTATCATTTATCTAAATAACTTCCTTTAAGATTTCTTTTATAGCAAGTGCATAGGTGATAAATTCTCTTAGTTTTGTCTTCTTATTCTTGAAAGAAGTTTTGCAAGGTATAAAATTCTGAGTTCACAGTTCCCTGTACTGCGCACCCCAGCATGTGAAGATTTTGATCTACTAACTTTGGCTTTCATCACTTCTAAAGAGAAACAACAGTCATTCAAATCACTGTTCCCTCATACAAGATGCATTATTTTTCTCTGGCAGATCTTAAGATCTCAATCTTTGGTTTCAAGTAATTTGATTTTGAGGTGTGCAGGTCTTGTTTTTTGTTTTTGTTAATCGCATTTGATGTTCACTGAGCTTCTTAAATCTGTAGATGTATGTCCTTCACCAAGTTTGAGACTTTTTAGCAATTTGTTCTTCAAATATTTATTCTGTGCCAATCTCTTCTCCCACTAGGACTTAAATAACACAAATGCTAGGCCCTTTGAAACTGTCCCATAGAGAGTTTTCAATTACTTTGTTTCTAATCTTTTTCTCTCTGTACTTCAGATTGGATAATTTCTACTGATTCATCTTCAAGTTCAGTGACTTTCTATTTTTTCCATTTTCCTATTGAGCCCGTAGAGTGATTGTATTTGTTAAAAATTCAGATTTTTCTTTTAGTGCTAAATTTTCCACTTAAAAAATTAATTTCTCTGCTGAGTCCTATTTTTCCACTCTTCAGGAGTGTTTACTGCTATCTCATGAAGCATGGTTCTATCATTGCTTTAGAATTTTTGATAATTCTGGCTGGGCGTGGTAGCTCACACTTGCAATCCTCGCACTTTGGAAGGCCAAGGCAGGAGGATTACTTCAGCTCAGGAGTTTGAGATCAGTCTAGGCAACATTGTGAGATCCCATTTCTATTTTTAAAAAATTTAAAAAAGAATTTTGGATAATTCTAATATCTGGGTTCTGTTTTTGGGATCTATTGATTGCCTTTCCTTTAAAATTAACCAGATTTTCCTAGTTTCTTTTCTAATTTTTCACTGAATCCTGGACATTTTGAATACTATGTGACTATGGATTCTGTTAAAAATCCCTGGAGGAAGTCATTTTTTGTTATTTGTTTTGGTTCCGCAGACAATCAGCTAAGTTGTGTTCAGACTGCATGTTCTGTCTCACTTTGTTTGAGTGGTGGTCCCAATGTTCAAAGACTTTGCTGTGCTGGGTAGGCTTGCCCAGCATATGACTCACTCAGAGATTTAGAGGTGGTTTATACTGTAACATGGTTCCCAACACTGCTGCCATGTTTCCCTGGATCTGTTTCACACACAGGCACCTCAGAAGGAAAGCCCGAATTAGTTCTCTCCTCTAAAGACTTCCTTTATATTCTCTAGATGACAACATGGTCTTTTCTACCCAGTTCTTCTGGCCAGAAAGACAAGTTTTCCTTAGAATTTTAGTCTCCCAACCTGTTGTGAGTTCTGACTAAGAGAAAAAAAACAGAGATTCCCTCCATATTCTCCAAACCTTACCATTTATACCCTTTACAAATTATTGACAAATCATTGTTTATAATATTCTCTTATAATAGTCTAAAACACTTATTAAAATTTCAAGTATGCAAAAACAGACAAAATATATCTGTGTACCCAGCTTCCAACTTCAACAGTTATAATCTACCCAATCTTATTTTATCTGTCTCTCCTCACTTCTACCCCTTACATATTAGAGACAAATCTCAGACTTTAAATCATTGCATCTGTAAACATTTCTGTATCACTAAAGCCACTTAAAAAATAACCTTTATCCTATTATCAACCCCCAAAAATAAATAACTTAATATTAAATACTAGCATTCAAACTTCTAAATGTCTCTTAACGTCATCAGTTTCCTCCATTTATAGTTTGTTTAAATCCATAAATTCACTTGACTTTTATATCTCTTTTAATCTATAGGCTCCTGTTTTTCCTTTTTCCCATCATCATTTATTTATAAACACAGTTTTTCTCCTCTTTTGTTTAGCAGGTCTACTTTCTAGTTGGTTTGTTTCACAACTAGATCTTTGCTGTAGTTGATTTATAACTCCTCCATTTCTAATACTATTTATGTCTTTTTTTCTAGATCAATCTTGGCAGAAGTCTGCCTATTGTTATCTTTTACAAATAGCCAATGTCAGTCCTCATTGATTTCTTCTTTTTGTATCTTTTTTTTTTTTTTAAATTTCTGTCTAATGATTGTTGCCCTTTCTTTGGATTTGTTTTTCTTTTAACTTCTTGAGTTCAATCTTATTACATTTCAATCTTTTTTCTCAAGGTACTGTTTGCTGTACCTCAGTTTTTTATATGTAGTATTTTCATCATTAATGCATTTTAAATGTATTTAAATTTCCATCCTAATTTCTTCTGTGACTTACAAATTACTAAGTAGTATATCTTTCCAAACATACAGACTTTTAAAATAATCTTTGGTTGCTGATTCTTGGTTTAATTGCATTTTTGTCACAGGCTGCTCTGCATATATGTTCAGACTTTGTTAGTTGAGCATGTGTATCTGTTTTGATAAATGTTTTATGTATGCCTATTCTCTGGATGTTGGCAGTAAGATAACATGTCCATTAAGCATATACTGTGTTATTTAAATCTTTTGAACCATATTAATTTTTTGTATGTTTGACCTGTTAATTATTACTAAGAGGTACAAAAAAAAATTACTCACTGTGTTGTGGATTTGTCAATTTTCCTTTGCAATCATCAATCTATGTTTCGTGCATTTTAAGGCTATATTAATATCTTTAAATTATTTTAAATTATATCTTGTGAGATAGTGACATTCTTGATTTCTATTTTAATAGTTACATCAGCTCTTTTCTGACATGTGTCTGTTATTTCTTTTCTAGTTTTGTATTTTTAAATTTTCCTGTAATTACAGGTGTATCTTGTTAGATACATTTGTATATTAACTGTAGCATTTGGTTCATTTATTATTTTGCAGAGAAATACCTTAATTTTGCCCTCATTCTTTTACTTTTTATTTTTATGGGTATATGATAGTATCTTTATGGGATACATGAGATATTACAATATAGGTATACAGTGTATAATAACTACATCAGTATAAATGGGGTATCCATCATCTTGAGCATTTACCACGTGTGTTACAAATACCCAAATTATACTTAGTTATTTTAAACTGTACAATAAATTGTTGACTGTAGTCACTGTGCTGTGCTATCAAATACCAGATATTATTAACCCTATCTAATTATATTTTTGTACCCATTAGTCATCCCCACATCCCCACCACTGCCTTCATTCTTAAATGACAATTAACACCTTAACATTATGAAGGCAGTATTCTATTGTCTTCGGGATTCCATTTTGCTATTGATAATTCTGGTGTCAATCTTAATAGCATCCTTTTGTAGACTATTTTCTGTTTTTTAAAACTTTTCTCCTTGTCTGTGGGGTGCAATGTCAGTGTCACTTAAAAATTTTTTTTTTCCTGCTTGGGAGTCACCCTGTGTCATGCTTTTCATCAGTTCTTGAATTTTTTTTCCTTTTCATGTAAGATAGGCAATGTACTGACATGGTAACAAGGCTGGAGGGAGGCACATGTCACATGTGTGCATGAACACCGGGCATCAGGTTTATGCACTACAGAGTAACAGTTCTGGAAAATCCTAATAAACTATCACCTCTCCTAGCACTATGCTCTGGGTAATTCCTCAGATCTATCTTTTAATAACCATACTTTTAACTTACAGACCTCCTATTTGGTTATTTTAAAAATGGATATGGTCATTTTTCTTTCTCATTTTTTCGTTTCCTTCTTGTAGGATATGTGAAACACTCAAGTTCTTGGGGATCTAAGGAACTCCTTCCTGTCTGTTACATCGGTGAATTTATACCCACGGTGGGCTGTGAGCATAGGCGTTTTAGAATTTGGGGGCCATGAGCTGACCTGCAACAATGTTTTATCCATGCCAACCCTGAAGCTTCCTTGGTGATTTTTTAGATTTATTTTTGCCAGGTGACTCAAAGGTTTTATGCACCCAGGATGATTTGTTAGTTTTTGGACTTAGTGACTCCTGGGTTGAGCAGGGAATGTAAATTCATTTCTCAAACCCTAATAAAGGCAGGTTCTAAGTACAAAGCTAGGGGGGACCCCAGCCTCACTCCCAACTCCACCCTGAGACCAAACCCAGAAAAACAAGTTTCTTTGTCATCAGCATGTGCCAGTGGAACACTTTTTCTAATCTACGCTTTTATGTGAATCACCTCCCTTTGAGGGCTCCAGCTTCATGTGAGTCTCACAAAGCCCATGTGAACTACAGGACTCTTCTTTTCTCAGTGTGGGAATTAAAAGCAAGTTCCCAGCTGTCTACCCCTGTGCTGTAACATGCTACGAAAATCAGCCAGGAGCATTCGTAACATCAATTTTGGTTTATTAATTTGTAGTTCTCTCCATTTCCCGTACACAAGCATTACCTGCTTTTTCTCCTTCCTGGAGCTTACACATATGCTTTTAAAGAATTATTTGTCACATTTTATCCAATGTTTCCAGGTGCCTTCTAGTAGATGGGGTTTCAGGTTACCTTATCTATCATATTATCCAGTCTTTAAATCTGATTTTCACAATTCTTGAGAGTTATATGTTTTCCTACCTTCACTCTCTCCTTTTTTCCCACTTTTTACATAATACGCATTAAATATAATTTTAACTCTGCTGATATTCCTAGAAGTATAAATTAAATGCAAAAGTAGTCAGTATCCAATCTCAATCTGTCAGAGTTATTTTAAAACATCCTTCCCTGCAGTTCTTTCCAATAAAAGCGCCCCATGAGTAGCACAGGACAGCAGGGTAAAAACAGAATGAAGACTTGACACATTTGGGTTTTTATTTTTAGATCTCTACGACCGACTCTGTAACCTTTGAGAACACACTTTCACCTCTTGTAGCCTATTTTCCGCCTCATAAAGATGTTAATGAGTCTATAATCATATTGATGAATATGCACACTCACCAATTAGGAACTGACTGGTCTTAATTTTTTTTTTCTTTTTGAGATGGAGTCTTACTCTGTCACCCAGGCTGGAGTGCCGTGGCATGATCATGGCTCACTGCAACCTCTGCCACCCAGGTTCAAGAGATTCTCCTGCTTCAGCCTCCTGAGAAGCTGGGATTACAGGCACCTGCCACCATGCCCAGCTAATTTTTGTAGTTTTAGTAGAGATGGGTTTCACCATGTTGGCCAGGCTTGTCTTGAATTCCTGACCTCGAGATCCACCCGCCTCGGCCTCCCAAAATGCTGGAATTACAGGCGTGAGCCACTGCACCCCGTGAAGAATCTTAATTTTTAAAAATTGGGACTCTTAATATATGTGTAATATTCCTAAAAAATTTCAGAAATTCCAGTTTATTTAACTATAACAATGCTGGGATCTTAGTAGGTGCCGATAAAGTAAGTAAAATAAAATATATTTCTAAAAAGTTGCAATATCAGTTTATGTAGTCAATAAATATTTTCACAAACCAAAATAACACATTTTGCAAATCATGCCTTATCATGTTCTTCTCTGAAGTGAATTAATACGTAATAATACCTTAGCTTTTGGAGTGGCTTTAATGGTCCAGATGCAATCAACAGCTTGGCCAGGTTTCGTTTTCTCTTCTTGTTCTACCTGACTAGAGCGCACTATTCCATCAGCTCCCGAGAGCTCGAACTGACAATCTAGAAGGAATACATGAAAGGTGTTCAAAGGAACATATGACTGATCAAAAATGCCAAGAGGAACAAGTGGTAATATACTAAACCTGGAATGGGATTTAAAATACCTCCTAGGTAAGTAAAGTCTGGATCTGTAACAGAAAAAAGAATAAAGTTATTGGTACTGAGATAGTTACTTTAAGCCTTGATGTCTTAAGTTATATCTAATGCTCCATTTGACAGCAAAGTAAGAGAAGCTTTCATGGATGTAAACTATATCATTGGTCATTTATAAGCTCACTTACAGGATCGACAGGTATTTAATCACGTTTATACTTTTGATTCCATAGTGAATTATTTATTTATGCTACTTGCAAACTCACATCAACTGTCAAAGCTGAACAGATAAACAGAACATCACGTATACAATAAGAGAATATTATTTGGCCTTAAAAAAGAAAGAAGTTCCTTTCTGCTAAATCATATTACAATTTGTCTTCTAAATTTTGGCTTAAATAGATGCTGGTGATGGTTGCTTAACACTGTGAATGTACTTAATGCCACTAAATTGCACAACTTAAAAATGGTTAAAGAGAGCTGGGTATGGTGGCTAATGCCTCTAGTCCCAGCTATTTAAGTCTTTTATTGGTGTATAGGAATGCTTGTGATTTTTTCGCATTGATTTTGTATCCTGAGACTTTGCTGAAGTTGCTTATCATAAGGAGATTTTGGGCTGAGACAGTGGGGTCTCCTAAATATATAATCATGTTATTTGCAAATAGAGACAATTTGATTTCCTCTTTTTCTAACTAAATACCCTATATTTCGTTTTCTTGCTGATTGCTCTGGCCAGAACTTCCAATACTATGTTGGATAGGACTGAGAGAGGGCACCTTGTCTAGTGCCAATTTTCAAAGGGAATGCTTCCAGTTTTTGCCCATTCAGTATGATACTGGCTATGCGTTTTTCATCAATAGCTTTATTCTTTTAAGATACATTTCATCCATACCTAGTTTATTGAGAGTCTTTAGCATAAAGCGCTGTTGAATTTTGTCAAAGGCCTTCTCTGCATCTATTGAGATAATCATGTGGTTTTGTCTTTGACTCTGTTTATGTGATGGATTACATTTATTGATTTGTGTATGTTGAACTAGCCTTGCATCCCTGGGATGAAGCTGACTCAATCGTGAAGGATAAGCTTTTTGCTGTGCTGTTGGATTTGGTTTGCCAGTATTTTGTTGAAGATTTTTGCATCAATGTTCATCATGGATACTGGCCTGAAATTTTTTTAGTTGTGTCTCTGCCAGGTTTTGGTATCAGGATGACATTGGTCTCATAAAATGAGTTAGGGAGGATTCCCTCTTTTTGTATTGTTTGGAATAGTTTCAGAGGAATGGTACTAGCTCCTCTTTGTATGTCTGGTAGAATTTGGCTGTGAACCCATCTGGTTCTGGACTTTTTTTGGTTGGTAGGGTTTTAATTGCTGCCTCAACTTCAGACTTTGTTATTCGTCTATTCAGGGATTCAACTGCTTCCTGATTTAGTCTTGAGAGGGTGTAAGTTTCCAGGAAGTTATCAATTTCTTCTAGATTTACTGGTTTATGTGCATAGGGATGTTTGTAGTAATCTCTGATGCTAGTTTGTATTTCTGTGGAATTGATGATATCCCCTTTATCATTTTTTATTGCATCTATTTGATTCTTCCCTCTTTTCTTTTTTATTAGTCTGGCTAGCGGTCTATCTATTTTGCTGATCTTTTTTTTAAAAAAAAAAACAGCTCCTGGATTCATTGATTTTTTTTGAAGGGTTTTTTTTTGTGTGTGTCTGTCTCCTTCAGTATAGCTCTGATCTTAGTTGTCTTCTGCTAGCTTTTCAATTTGTTTGATCTTGCTCCTCTAGTTCTTTTAGTTGTGATAGGGTGTAAATTTTAGATCTTTCCTCACTGCTTATGTGGGCATTTAGTGCTATAAATTTCCCTCTAGACACTGCTTCAAATGTGTCCCAGAGATTCTGGTACATTGTATCTTCGTTGTGATTGGTTTCGAAGAACATCTTTATTTCTGCCTTCATTTCATCATTTATCCAGTTGTCATTCAGGAGCAGGTTGTTCAGTTTCTATGTAGTTGTGTGGTTTTGAGTGAGTTTCTTAATCCTGAGTTCTAATTTGATTGCACTGTGGTCTGAGAGACTGATTGTTTTCTGTTCTTTTGCATTTGCTGAGGAGTGATTTACTTCCAATTATGTGGTCAATTTTAGAATAAGTGCTATGTAGTGCTGAGAAGAATGTATATTCTGTGGATTTGAGGTGGAGAGTTCTGTAGCAAACCCTAATAGGGTTTGCTTGGTCCAGATGTGAGTTCAAGTCCTGGATATCCTTGTTAATTTTCTGTCTCATTGATCTAATATTGACAGTGGAGTGTTAAAGTATCCCACTATTATTGTGCGGGAGTCTAAGTCTCTTCGTAGGTCGTTAAGAACTTGCTTTATATACCTGGGTGCTCCTGTATTGGGTGCATATATTTAGGAGAGTTACCTCTTCTTGTTGCATTGATCTCTTTACCATTATTATGCAATGCTCTACTTCTTGTATAATTTTGTTGTGAACCTAAAACTGTTCTAAAAAGTAAAGCCTATTAACAAATTTTACTTTTTGTAAATATCCTTTTGGCATTGAGCAGATAAATACTTGGTTGGCTATGGAGATTACAGAACAAAAGTGAAAAAAAGAAGAGCAGATAAATACTGAAGCAAAGCTTAACATTTCCCATATGGGTACTGACAGGGAACAAAATGTTGTTTATGTGTTTCAGGCAAAAAGCAGATAATAAAGTTATATGTGTACCATAATCCCAATTTTGTAAAACAAACAGAAGAAACAGATATAAAAAAAATATTGGAAGGGATATACACCAAATAACAACCAAAAACACTGATTTTATATACATGGTGGAAGGA